AAGAGGAAACCAGCCGTTAAGATGGTAAAAATCGAAAGACGAGACCAAAACGTTGCACCCAGAACGCCAGACATAGAACTAAGAATATTACGAAACGATCCCAGTCATTAGTCAATGGCCATCTTACGGACCGTGCCCCTAAGAGTGTGAAATAACAAATAAGATAGAATAAAGAACGTACAGCTGTAACTGCTGTAACTAAAGTTTAAGAATGTTATTTTGCCATTTGTTATAAGGAGAACGATCGCCTGTTTAGATCAAATGCAATTTAAAACATATTTCAAGAACACCGAATACACAAGACACCTGCACTGGCGGTAACTCAGCCCGTGGACAAGACGCTTTAATTTTGAGATAAAAAAAGTATGACGAAATAATTTTTTCCTCTGAACTTAAGGCCGAGTCAGAATTGATGTTCGTAATATTAAAACAGCCCTTCGTGAAAAGTTACCAAGAGATCATTTTTACCTGCACGTGCGCAGAGAAATTCTGGTATTTCATCGATATCCATATCACAAAACTTTGTGTAAATGGGCGATGAAAACAGCTAAGTTCTTTCCGACAGTTTCCAATCAGACAAAGGTTTGAAAATTAAGTACCTCTACGCCTTAAATGATGTCAGTTTCACGGGCATGATAATGAAAACTAGTGGAGTGGAAATTGTTGATAAGCAATCGTTTTTTTCATGTGTGATGACTAGGAAATAAAATGTCACTTATTTTAATATATAAATTCATTCAAGCACACAGATGTATCCGGTTATCTCGACAGGAATGAGAACTCTAATAAAACGTCCAGTAATCGTAACTTTAACTCTATCATGAACCCATAATCTAATAATTAATTTCATATTTCCAGACGCTGAGGCACTCTAGATCTCTCCCTCGGCTAAAATGTGACTAAATACATTTTTGACAGATCAACCGACAAAAGGGGAAATGGTTTATATCATAAAATAATAACTGAAAATAGCATACTGCATAGAATTACAGATGCGGGAACCACATTTTCTCTGAAAGGATAAAAACGCCGTTTTTTTCAAAAAACATTGAGGAATATTTTCTCTACTTGCCAGGAAATGGTGACGGTTTTACGGGTTGGGTGATTTAGAGACTGATCACTAGCGAAGAGTCTTAAGGAAAAACGAACCTGACGAGAGAGTTAAAGTGTGTGGCTCCGAGTGTGTTAACAAAAAATACGTGAGCAGCTGTTGCAATTTGATGAAAAGACATGACCCTAAAAGGACACTGAATTCATGAGGTATTCAATTAAAATGTGCTGTCGATGACGGCAAAGAGATCACGAAATTATCACGACAACATAGATGGAAAAAAAAATCTCCCAAAATTGATCGATTGAGGAAAAAAACCTGTGACTGACCGTCTGCGAGAAGATGTTACTGTAATTCCGTGTCGTGAGCTGCTTTCCTCTATTTCTTTTAGAATATCGTGTCATCCTCGGAAAAGAACAAGGAAAATCGAGAAAGGGAAAAAATTATCAGATA